TTTTTTACGTCATGACGCGTCAATTCAACGACGATAAAAAATTTTCACGCGTAAAAAGTTCGAAGCCAACGCGACCTACCCAATTAGGAGGGTTTAACGACGCCGGCCTATAACGGGGAAAACAAAAATATCATTTTAAACGTTCCCGATATTGTGCGCATCGGCGCGTTTTATTTAATTAAAATTCTACAAATCACGCGCCAACCCCGTTCGCGCGCTCATCAACCCGTCTCTCTGTTCCTCCCCTCTCTCATTACCAACCCTCTCTTTTTCCATCTCTTTGGATGCGTTAATTAAAACCGGCAGTAAGTTAATTGCGTGTTTTTTTTCTTCACGATCGTTTTGACGAGAGCCGGCTCAGCGTCTCGAAAATTTCGAAGGCTCATCAAATTACATCCGAATTTCACTTCGTTCGTCATCATTTTATATATATATATATCTATGTTTAAGATATCAGGATTGCAAAAAAAGAAAAAAGGTCCCGTTCATCATTTGCTTTTTCGCACATTCCTTTGGAACGAAATGAATCGAAATGAGAAACGCTTTCGCTGTATGTATGTATGTTCTCACGTTGAGGGTTGTTTTATCGTTTGTCGAAGCTCGACGAATTTATATATCGAAATTAAAAATGTCAGAAATTGTGAAATAGACATTTGTAACTGATGTCGTAGAATGGTAGTACGTTCCATAATCCGTGAAGATGGAAGACAAAGTTTTCTTTATAACGTTTAATATTTGAGGATATTTCAATTGAGAAGTCTTGAAGGTAACCGGGGAGAATATAACAGAGTCGGGTTTCTTGACATTTGTCGCTATATTACGCGGAAGATGAGAATTGTAGTTGGTCTTTTGACATTCCGCTGTCTAACCTGATCTGAATTTCCAAGGGAGATCCGAATACAGATCTCCCTTTCTCTCGTCTCGTTCTTATTATCACGCGATATCGTTCCACCATTCGGTTGCCATTCTACCATTTGTCAATATCAAACTTTTAGATCGATCGATCGAAAGTTTGAACATTGCTTATTATTCACCAACGAATAAATTTTTATGCTTACGATCACAATTCGATTGTCAAGTGTTCGTACAGAACTAACAAAATATCCCACGAATCACGTATATTTCTTCCCTCCGTTCGATTCTAAATACACGAGAATGCACAAAAATCTCACCATCGATCAATCTCATTCGAACAGATCGTGCGTTTCGAAAAAAAAGAAATCCATCCGGCACATCTCGAGTCGAAGCATTCTCGTCCATCCCCTAATCGGCAACGAGCGAATATTGGCCGAGACGTTGACGTATTTCGTTATTGAATATTAATCCTCGTCGGCTTATCAAACTGCCTGCTCTCGCGAATAACGCGAACGGGCTCGTTAACTTTTGAAATATCGACACTACGATCCAACCTCGACGCATTCGAAAATTCCTTTCTTCTTTCGAAGAAGAGTAGGAAAAAAAAAAAGAAAGAAAAGATAGAGAAAAAAATATTTCGAGAAAAACACGATATTATTTGGTTCGTTCGTTTTTAACTATATATAAGGAAAGATTGTCACGAATGAATAAATAGTCATTGATTTCTCGCTCCTTCCCTATTTTCCGCCATTTTGCTGCTCGGTGAAATCGGTGGATTAATCGATAACCGGCAAATATTTTCCTTTATTCGGGGTGAATCTGCCCGTTTGCTCGATTTAATTGATTTTAGGAAAGAAAACGCGTCCTCCTCTTCGGTGGAATCTCGATTCTGTGACATTTTAACGCAGCCGGAATTATTCATGTCACGTAGCCCGCGTTTTATGCGGTATTGACGCCCTTTCCTTTCGTTCCCTTTCCCCGTCATCCATCTTCATTTTTCTTTCCCTCTCTGTATCTCTGTCCCTTTTCGTCTTGGAAGGGGAAGAAACGCACGCTCTTCTCGTGGAAAAAAAATAAAAAAGAAAGACAATGGCCGCGGTTTTATTCGTGTAATAGGGTGTGTAGATCGTAGTGTGGAGTTTGTTCGAGAAACGAGATATTGGATTCTCTTCTGATTAATTTTATCGTTCCGAGGAAATTTGCGGCCGTTAACGATAATGGAGTTGCTTCCAAAGACGACCAAAGTTATTACGTTGCCATACTTCATCCCCTGTTTCAGAGGGGTTCGTTGTTTCGGTAATTGTCGAGGGTCGATGTTTAGTACTTTCGTTCTTTGTATTCTTTTTATATTGGTGTGGACACGGTATGGACAGAAGATCGAACAAGAATGGAAAGCTACATTTCAGATCTACGCTGGATTGATGATTTGATCAGAAATCTTAGAGTATCTTTTTTAATTGTAAATTTTTAAATTTCTAATATATTCTTATTTTAACTTGACTAATAGATTCGGTTAATGCATTTATTCTGGTAAAGACCCGCAAAGAAATATTAATACGAATCGTTTCAGCAGATATTTGTAATATTTAAAGCATCGTTATTTTATCATTTTTATCATTTCATCCCTTCAGTATCGTGTTACTTGTTGAATTTGTTAAATTGAGTTGAACGCTGCTTTTAGTATTAATTGATCGTTAATTGATTTCTATATTTACAGAGAATTAAATTACAAAGCGCTATTCATCATATAACATCTATCTTCGAATAACGTGCATTTAACGTTTCAAACTATACGATTAAACAACTTGCTCAATTTTTTAAAAACAATCATTCTACTCTTCGATCTTACATCTTATTATCCACCTTTCTCATCTCAACACAAACTACTCTATATCTGAAAATATTATTCATCGAGAAACGATTTACAATTAAATTTAATTTCATTTAAATTCAAACACATAATATGAACCATCAAGATATGGTATCTCATTCAAATCAAAAACCAAGTTTATCGTAACAATTACACTCAATTACGAAATTCTTCGTTCACCGAAATAAACTCGACGAATCCCCTTTCGACTATTACTCATTCATTTCCTTCCAAGATGGCAGGTAGGGGCGCAATCGAGACAAAGTTTGCAAGAAAGGTGAGCGAATCTCGGTACGCTCGTACACGAAATTCGAAAATAACGCATCCTTCGTACTCATTACCGCCGTCAACTAATTACGACAAAAGGGGAATATATGTTACGTTACAAGGATTATGAAACTTGTGCTGTACTTGCCTCCGTCAACTAATTGCGACATTCTAAAATATATATATATATAGATATCCACGCCTTTCAACGAACGAACGAACGAGTAAACCATCGCGCAGGCTTTCAGGCCAAGTTTCCAACAAGCGTTTTGTACACGAGTGTACACGTAACGGGGGTTCACGAACAACAGGAAAATACAGAGACAGTCTGGGTCCTTGCACCTAATTTAAATGCGAACACGCCTCAAAGTAATGCTTTCTCGCGCCGCCTCGATAACACCGCCCTTGTCATCGGTTGTAGTTGCTTGTTCGGCAGCTGTACGAAGCTTGACGGAAACAAAGCTTGTCAAGGGGTTGAAAAGTGGCTCGAGTAATTGGCAGGCATTTAATGGAAATTAAACAAATTCGAAATATTCTCTCGTTCGTTCGACAATATTTCTTGGAACAATGTTGTTTCATTCTCTCGCGTATTCCATCCATATTTAAATGATTCGAGATTTTACTTACAGGGTTAGAGAAAACAAGCGTTTAAAAATGAAAAGCACCATCTATCAATATCCTGCCGCTTCATTCATAAAAAAATTTAAACGTTACGCTTTATACTACGTAAAACGCCACGGCGAGTAAAAAGAGAAACAAAATACGACTGTGTGAAAGAAATAAGAGTAAAACGGAAAGCGGAGCGTGCATGAACGAGGAGAACTAAGACGTGGAATAAAAATTATTCGCGGGAAAAGAAATTTACGAAAAAAATGGTAAAAACACCCTATTGAATTACAGAGTTGCCCTGCCATTCTGGATATTTTAAACACGCGAAAGAAAAATTAAGAGAGAGAAATTAAACGTGATTAAAGCTAGGGAATAAAAATTATTTTCAAAATAAATTTTCGAAATAATTATAAAATAACATACCGAATTACA